TGGGGCTTCGGGGCCTGCTCAGAGAAGCCGCGCTGGGCCCCTGAAGGGCTGCGGCCACGACGGCTGCAGAGTGTGAGGCGATGCTTGGAATGGACGTGCCAATGCAGGAGAGGACAAAAACGGACAAATCGTGGCCCAACGTCCTCTCTCTCGCTCTCTCTCTCTCTCTCTCTCTCTCTCTCTTTCTCTCGGTAGAATCTTGATCAAACGCTGGGCCAGTCTCGCGCGCAAACCTTCGCGAATGTGGATGGGGGGCAGAAAACACTGGGCCAGCTTACAGAAATGCCGCTGAAGCAACGCTGGCCCAGGTGAGCGAGGGGAGGCTTGTGAATGGCTGGCGCGACTGTATGCCCTGGCCCATCCTGGAACCAGGATCGGTGCCAAGACCCTCCTGGCCTGAGCACGGGAGACAGACGCACCGACCCTCTGGCCCGAAACGGGCCGGGCAAGGACCAGCGTGCGTGCACAGTTGCCGTCGCCGGAAAGGGAGACCAGGGGCGGCTGGAGACTGTACGGTTTCGGTTCGGTTTCGAACCCCCGTGATTCTTAGATTTCCCAGAACGCCGCGAATGCTCTGGAGGGGAAGGCGTGGGACTCCAGCGCAGAACAATCTGCTCGTCCTCCTCTTCGAAATCATCACTTGCCTCCTGCTCCTCCTCGTCCTCCTTCTGCTCCGCCTCCTCCTCCTCCTCCTCCTCCTCCTCCTCCTCCTCCTCCTCCTCCTCCTCCTCCTCCTCCTCCTCCTCCTCCTCTTGCCCAGAAATGAGGCATCAGGGGCGGCCTGCGTCTCATGACGCAAATCCGTACCTCGCGGCTAGGCATGAGCATTCCGAACGCTGGGACTGAAGCCAGTATGGGTGTAGTGAACTAGGCCGGGAGTCGTCCCGAACGGCAACTTCGTCGTCGTTCGTCGTCGTCGCGCTCGTCGCTGCCGTTGTTGTCTCGCAGACTTCATCATCGTAATGTTTGTTGTCTTCGTTTCTCGCCATCGTCGTCGTTTCCGTCGTCGTCGTCGTGGTTTCTCGTCGTCGTCGTCGCGGTTTCTTCGCCGTCGTCGTCATTGTCGTCGTCATTGTCGTCGTCGTTTTCGCTGCCGATGTCGTCGTCGCTCGCCGTCGTGGTCGCCGCCGTCGTCTCATCGTCGTCGTCGTCATTTCCGTCGGAATCGTCGTCACCGTAGACACATCATTGTCGTGGCGACGGGGGAGGAAGAAAGGAGGAGCAGGAGGAGGAGGAGGAGGAGGACGAGGAGGAGGCGGAGCAGAAGGAGAACGAGGAGGAGCAGGAGGCAAGGCCGTGCTGAAACCCTTTCTGGCCTGATGGGCCGATTTTCCACCGCGACTATGATAGGTAGTAGGAGGAGGAGGAGGAGGAGGAGGAGGAGGAGGAGGAGGAGAGACGAGGACGAGGAGGAGGAGGAGGAGGAGGGAGGAGGAGGAGGAGGGAGGAGGGAGGGGAGGGAGGAGGACGGGGGGGGGCTGTGGATTCCGCCCGAGCCGCCGGGCCGCCAGCGAGGGCGCTGCTCAGGAAGATCGGTTCCCCAAGCGGCAGGTGCGCGTACAGGCCCCAGCCTCGGCACGAAGGGGGCAAAACCCGGGCTTGCACACGGCCGCGTAGACTTGCACGCTCCTGCCCGCCCGCGAAGGCGGCCGGGAACGGCCGACAGGGGTTTGTCCCCCCTGCGGTCTGGGTCACGGGCTGCGGTCCGCAGGCCGTGATGGGCCAGTGTCCACTACCACCATGGGTGGGACGGGGGGGAAGACAGGATGGGGAGGTCCTCCTTCTCCTCCGCCTCCTCCTCGTCCTCCTTTTCCTCCTGCTCCTCCTCCTCCTCCTCCTCCTCCTCTCCTTCCTCCTCCTCCTCCTCCCCTCCTCCTCCTCCTCCTCCTCCTCTCTCCTCCCTCTCCTCCTCCTCCCTCTCCTCCTCCTCCTCCTCCTCCTCCTCCTCCTCCTCTCTCCTCCTCCTCCTCCTCCTCCTCCTCTCCTTCTCCTCCTCTCCTCCTCCTCCTCCTCCTCCTCCTCCTCCTCCTCCTCCTCCTCCTCCTCCTCCCTCCTCCTCCTCCTCCTCCTCCTCCTCCTCCTCCTCCTCCTCCTCCTCCTCCTCCTCCTACCTATGATAGTCGCGGTGGAAAATCGGCCCATCAGGCCAGAAAGGGTTTCAGCACGGCCTTGGACAAAACGTGATCGCCGTTCTGCCGCGGCGGCGCCCCCGCCGGCTCAGGAGGCGGCCCGCCGCGTTTCGGACCACGAGCGCCGGGGCGCGCTGTATAAGTTGGGCGTTGCTTATGATAAGGGGGCGACAAGTGGGGGGCGGAAAAAACGTGCCCCTGTCGTGCCCTTGCGCAGAGGAATAACATGGACCACCGCCACCGAAAACCCATCCATGAGGGACCAGCCCTCCGGCGGTGGCACGCCTGAGCGTCATCCTGTAATGGGGTGGCGCTCGGGCGTGCCACCGCCAAGAGGTCGGCCCCCCACTGATGGGTTCTCGGTGGGGTGG